TGTGTCTATGAGAGCTCTCTTTTGTCTACACTGGTTCAGGTGTGTCTATGAGAGCTCTCTTATGTCTTCTCTCTCTATGTAAGAAATAGCCTAGTGGAGAGATTGGTTTTGTTTGGTTGTTTGGTTTGGGTTTTGAGACAGTGTCTTACTCTCTAGGCCAGGCTGCCCTGGAATTCATTATATTCCTCAAGTGCCTCACATTTACAGCAGTCCCCCTGCCTCAGCCTCCTAAGTGCTAAGATTACAGGGGTGAGATGCCACACCTGGCAAGAATTTGTTTTGTTTTTGTTTTTTTGTTTTTGTTTTTTACAAGAATTTTTCCACTTACAGGAGGCTAATTTTTTAGATCAGCAGCTAATTTTTTAGATCAGCGGCCTGATGATTTCTCTCTTTCTTGTTTGTTTGTTTGCGATGGGGCTTTATGTAGCTGTGACTGGATGAAAATTTGCAGCAATCCTTAACCTCTGAGTGCTAGAATTAAACTTATATGCCTAGATAAGCAGTCAGAGTAGATGAAGTTCAGGGTTAAGGGCCCAAGACAACTGCGATGGATGATTGCAGCTTTGAGGTGGTGTGACGGTGTTTTCTATTCCTAGAGAAGTTGTCCTCTTCAGTGCACATGATTGTATCTAATTCACTGGGGGCTGAGTCAGGACCAGAAAGTCAGAGGCAGAGTGTAGGGAGTGGAGGAATCCCTGAGTGAATGTATATGATTGATATGTGCCCAGCCATGTCAAGGACCCCAATGCCTCAGACCCATGGAAATGACTGTGTCAGTGTCAGAGGTATAGCAAAACTCCTCTAGTCCAAGTAAGAGCATGTATGCTATGAAAGATTGACCAGTATATAGTTATTATTGGCCACAGCTTCCTCTTCCCAGATGTGTGTAGCCTGAGACTGCTCTCCCTGGGAGGCCTCCCACTGAGACTAGTTAGCACCTCTCCTAGTATTCACCTGTGTCTGTGTGAATGTCTGTCACATGTATGTGGTGCCCTTGAAATCAAGAAAAGAGAGTCAGATTCCTTAGAACTGGAGTTACAGATGGTTCTGAGCTGCCTGACATGGGTTCTGGGAACTGAACTCAGGTCCTCTGGAAATGCTCTTAACCACTGAGCTGTCTTTAGCCCCAAATATTTTTATATATCTATTTGAGACAAGGTGTCACTAGGTAGCTCTGGCTGGGCTAAAACTTGCTATGTAGACTGGGCTAGCCTTGCACTCACAGAGATCCCCTACCTCTGTCTCCTGAGTGCTAGGATTAAAGGCAAGTGCCGCCACGTCTGGAGTTATATATATATTTTCTGAATACTATTGGTTCTGTTTCTCCACACAAATCAAAACCCACATGAATAAAGCCTGGCAGAGGGGAGCACTAGGGAGATACTTGAGGTTTTCTGGCCGGCAAGTTTAGCCGAATCAGTAAGGTCCAAGTTTGGTGAGAGATCCTACCTCAGAAAATTAAAGCATAAAGCAATGAAGGAAAATCTGCCTCTGGCCTACACGTGTAAGGACAGACACACGTACAAACAGACAGACACACAAGGCTGCCCTAATCTACTGCTATTTCAGTCAGCACATGTGGCTCCCAAGTTACTGGCCTGCTTCTCTGGCAGTTGTCCAGAGCTCAGGCCGGGGCCTGGTGGGAATTCTGTTCCCGAAGGCACCCGCTATGCCACTACTGCCAAATACGGCTTTCAATTAAATCTCTATCATTCCATGTCTCAGTAAGACCCGGGAGTCAAAGGCTGGGGTGAAAACCTGCTAACTCAGAGAGGCTGAGTAGCAACTAGCTGGCCTTGTCTCTTTGCCGGAGTCTCAGAAAGAGAGCATCCTTCCTTCCGATTCACCAAAACAACAACAACAAAAACCCCATGCCACTCAAAAAGCCTCCCTTCTACTTCCTGTGAGTCTCTCTAGTGTCTTCTAGATGCCCTCTGACTCTCTATGATGACGTTCTGTCAACTAGTTGCTGGCTCCACCTCCTGACCCAAGGTTAATTTTATTTAATTAACGCAAATGCAAAATTGGGAATCTCAGTATGATTGAATATCCCACAACATTTCCCCTTTTTGTCTAAATAAAAAGGAAAGGTTTTAACTCTAACAAAATAAAACCATATACAGTTAGAACAATTACCAAGTAAGGATTACATTCAGAATGTTCAGTCCATTTGTATTTGGCAAATTTGGAGAAACTACTCTATTATCTATCCTATCTTGATGAGTCCAAAGTTTTATACCTAAACCACTTTCTGTCATAACTTGTATTACCAACCTAAAAATATCTTTTTAGACCTTAAAACATTTTTAGATAAACAACTGAAGCTTTTATATCTCTCAACCTTTATAAACTTTATATCTCTTTTGTAAGTTTCTTTTTTGAATTTGATAACAAAGAAAACTGTAAAACTATAACTATTCTTCAACTGCATCAGAGACCTGAGAAGGATAAAATATTACCTGACTAAACAGGAAGTGTAGAGCAAGCAAATTTCAAAACTATAAAAGCAACAGAGACATCTGGCTGCCTGGACAGTCACCCAAGGTTCCTCTGCAATGTTGAGGCATCCATCTTTGGCCTACAGGCCTAGAATATCTGATAGACTTCTCTGTGAAGCAGAACTGTTGAAGGATTGTCCTACCTTGTCTTGGCAAAGTTTATCATGCACCTTCTTTTGTGTCCTGCTTGTCCAATTTGGACAGTATACTGTCAGCAGTTGAGGCAAGGGCAGTTTCTTTACCCAGTAGCTAACTTTGCCACAAAGAAAGCAAATTCTATATGGAGGTTCTTCAATGCCCATCATCTTCTCTGTAATAGATTGGTGCATCCAAGAGCAGATGTGTTGCACTGTCATAAAAAGCCTTATGTTATTAAAACCTCTTAAATGCCATATTCTGTAGGTCTCTGAAGTGTTTGAAGATCACCTATCTATCTAAAATATATCTCTATTTGATCTTGAAAGCATACCTAGTTGGCCACAAATTTGATTGTTAGATGACTAACTACTAACCTGTATTTCTTAATTATCCTAATTAGTTTGTAAGAATAACTTTCAAGGACTAGAAATGTACATTACATTGCTAAATGAGCTACATAGGTACAATACCTTAAACAAGAGTAGAAACACATATACAGTGTAACAGAAATAACCTTAAATTTGTATTAATATATAAAAATACATACCAATGTAAAATATTTAAGATTAATAGTTGCTTTTTTAGTTTAAAAGTAGATTTGATAATCTACCCTTTTATCCTATCATTCCTTTATCTCCCCTTTTTCTCTTCAGAAAGAGATCCTTGAATCTAATCTCTCTTGCTTAGTTTCCTCCCTGACCATGACCAATAACAACTTTCAACCAAAACCCCTAAATTATGATAAACATCCATAACCCACTGACTCACCAAAACTGCCCACCCCACCTCTTGAGAATACAGGTGTCATGTTCTTAATATTACTTCCTGTTGTCTAGGGGTGACAGCATCTTTACAAGACCCTAAGAAAATTGAGATAATGTTCAAGTCCTAGGAGAGCTAGCTGTTGTCCTGTCTCAGTGTGGGAAAGTACAGGGCTTATATGAAGTCCTGGCTAGAGTAATCTGTGAGGCTGGAACATCTCAGCTAGCAGCTTTGACGTTATTCTGGATGTAAAATTTTGAGAAAACTGCAACAGAGGCATTTTGAGAGGTTGGATCACCTGGGCTACTTGTCTTCATTGATGTCTGGTCTTTTTTTTCCCCCTGAAAAACAAAACTTTTAAACATAACATACATATCTGCATTAACACAAGTGTAGTGTGCACAAATCAGCTAAAGATGTTCTTTTTCTGTTCTATGTATGACTAGGTAAAAGGCATCTGTCAACTTTACAAGTTTGTTTGGACTGCATAACCAAACTGTAATATAA